AAATACTTTAATGCTCTTTGAGTTACCGATAAATTAATTAATTACAACTTAGACTATAGATAAAGTATATAAAATATAGCGGATAAAGATTAAATGGGAAATTAATGGTAAATTTAGAAAAAAATATACTTAAGTGCAATTATATGACTGTGTTTAATGCGCTTATCTAAGTCTGAAATCAAGTCACAGGACTTCAATAACTACTACCGTGACCTATTACTTTTAGGTATGACTAATACATCTTCTTCTTCTTCTTAATTCCTTTATCTCCTTGTGGAGCATAGCGCCTCTGAATAATACATAGTAATGGAAAAAAATAACATAAGACCTTGAATGAAATCTATGGAGCTATATAAAAAATAGGTGACTCGCTTTAAATAAACTATGACGGCGAATTAGAAATACAAAAAAAAGATCCTAATCATTAGAAGTTGCATCAAACCCTAACACATAAGATGACTTCTGTCAGTGTACTTATCGTGGAAAGTAGAAATGACAAACTAGAAATAATTGCTTGATAAAGTTTACAGCGATTAAAAAGAAGAAGGGCCAACTGGAAAAAAATAATGGGAAAAGTAATATATAAACGCGGTGGTCTAGAGTGATATGAGTGTTAAGAGGAAATAAATGTTAACACAGGTTCTATCAAATAACTTTTCAGCACTCTTATTCCATTATATTGTGGAACTGTCAACCTTCTCAGCTTTTTTCTATTGAGGACGAACTGACTCTTAGTCTGATGGTTAATGTAGGTTAGATTGAGATCGTGTGTTTAAATAACTGTCATCATTTCCAATCGGAGTTGTCTCCGAATTTCGCTCTCTGACTGATCTGCGAGTAGTCGATAGGTCATATGTCACCACAAATTTTTCTATTCTTCTAAGCACATCACACAGTGGAATTTGTTTTAAATTATTGGCCTCCTTATTCTTATTTCAGAACCCTTTCCAGCGATCTAGACTCCTAATCCTTTAATATTTCTATATCCACGAACGTAGCAGGGAGAGGCCAGTGAGAAAGATTGTCGTTGTTCATTTGTGAGGTTTGACATTTCCTAACAGTATTCGATTTCAGATATTATAGATTGGGTTGATATTATGACTGTCTGACTATCTTCAGCGTTAGTGATATTTAAAGAACGCACTGTATTCTCTCATATTAGCTTGTATCAGTCTGATTGCTTTTTTGATTGCTTATATTTCGTCGTGAAATACGCCGCAGTTATTAAGGACTCGATAAGGGCATTGTTTCTGCATATTCCCCAAAAAATAATTTTACACTTATTTAAATGATACCTCTAAAGTAATCGGCCAAAAAACTATACTATCTAATTTTTTTGATAGGGGAAGGAATGGAATAGTCTGATTGTTAACTGATATGTTGCTTCAAAAGCGATTTCTTTTAGGAGGAATCCACTTTTTTATTAGAGAGTTTGTGTTGGACCACACAAGGTTTTCAAAAAACTCAAAACCTTAATTAAACAAAATTAATGTAGTAATAATTATTTGAATTTATTCAATAAAATATTGATTTCTTTAACTAAATTTGTTGTGATTTTCTTAAATTTTTAAGTATTTTTAACTATGCTCACATTAAATGAAATCATAACTCTTTAAATGATGTCTTTAATGTCTCACAAATTAATGCTTGTCTAATGAATTATATCCTTTGCCCAAAGAAAAGAACGTCTGATTGTGCCCAAAGCCATGAATTTATCAAAAGGTTTGTCATTTTAATCGCAATCCTAATATTCGGCGATTTGTTTTTTTTTTGTTGGAGAAAAAATATTTTGTGCTAATTTTGTCTTCTTGTTGTCATTTTTTTGTAGTATTAATTCGATTTTCTTATCCTTGACACGCTCCGATAATTAACTTGAAAGAAAATCACATGACTTATCTTAATTTCTTGAAACGGAAGGAAAAGGGGGATACGTATATATGAAAAAAAATGGTTATACGAAAATAGCTTAATTAAGAGAAAATTATAAAGCAAAACAAACATACATGATAGGAACGCACATAATTACAGATAAAGGTGAACGAGGTTAGCTTGCAAAGTACGTGCATACAGCGAATGTTAAATAAAAATAACAAATCTGCACCTGATAGGTTAAACACGATTAAATTACAAATAAAAATTAGAACCAGAAGGGAAAAAAATCGAAAATTTATGTTTGATTGCAGAGAAAATAATGTATGAAATATATTTTCTGTATATATGTATTATAGGTATGTACTCTATATATATTTTTTCTTCATTTCGCAGTGAACTTAAAGTGAAAGTATATAAACTTACTGTATTTGATGAGCTCGAAATGTTAAATAAAATTCAGTTTCGGTTGTCTAAATCTGCGACTTCAAACAAAAATGTTAATTACCTAACGCAGCAATCATTCATTGTAGCGCCTCAGGGCCAGAAGGACTAGCTATTAAACAGGAAAGCTTAA